GTGCATGACCTCTTCATTAACTAATCCTGTTCTAAATGATGGTTGATTTGTTTTCTATTTGTCTTTACAAATGAATTTTAGGAACAAATTTTCTGTCTTTTAAAAAATTACCACTAAATTTTCATTTTCTTCAGCTGAGCCTAAAATGTTTTCCATTAAGATTAGTCCTGGATAATTTAGCTTTTTCTGTTGTAATATTGAGTAGGAAGGTACAGGTGTTGAAAATTTTTCTGTACTTCTAGTCACTTAGTTGTACTCAATTCTAACAGTTTTTGAAAGATTATCTTTGGTGTTCTTGATATATAATACTATTTTAAACAGTATTTTAATTTTCCTTTCCCAATTATTATAATTATCATTTCTGACTCAAGTTTCATTACATAGTTAAATCTAGGTTACCACTTACTGGATATGTCATCGTGGAAGAGTGAAATTAACTTCTCTGGGCCACACGTGTCATGACCAAGTTGTTGTTAGGGCATAGGGACCAGATTTAAAGTGGGACACCATTGACAGGAGGGATGTTCTTGATTAAAAATTGGGTCTATATGGACCAAATAGACAGTTCCCTAGCTTGTTGTGCATTCTTTCCAAAAATCAGGACTGTCCCACCAAAAGCGGGGCATCTGGTGACCTTATATATGAGCTAGAACATGTAAGACATAACTGTGTTATTAGCTGTCATCAGATTGCTGCAATGCATGATGACCTTCGGCATGCCTGATTTTCAGATATTGGCTGATTTTCTGAAACAGACTACTAGACTTTCTGCCTAGTCTGTCATAGTTTAGAAGCTCTGCCAAGACCTATTCAGCATCACAGCACCATAGAGGAATGATGGCTGTTGGTGAGGTGTCTAAGGCTCCTTCCTACATAGAAGGTAGGAATTTTACTGAACCACCACTGCTCTCACAACACTGGCACGGCTCTAAAATGTATGAGCTATCATTCGATTCCAAACATTTTCTTGACTTGTCTCCTTAATCAGTTCTTTTATGTGGTTGGGTGTTTTATCATTTTATACCTCCTACAGTTGAGTCTTGGACTTGATATTTGACTCTAATTTTCTACATTTTTTAATGTTTTTAACGCTGTTTTAAGGGATATTTGCCAGCTTACCCTTGCAATGTCTAAAATGACTTGAAAATTCTGCTTTTTAAAAAAAATTTTAAGAGATTTCTTTTTTAATGTATGATTCTTTTTAAAAATTGTATCCTGTTTTTTTTCTGGAAGCAATATTTACTCTTTTATTTCTAAGGAGGAATTTTATATAGAGAGAGGTTGTTTATATGTGTTTTTGTGTGTGTAATATGAGGAGGTATGCCTCCAAAACCGGAATTGCACTGGGCAGAGTGGAGCTTTTCTATAATATGCATTTTTCCCACTAGGTGAACATCTAGCAACTTGCTCTGAGTTAGTGCACCCAGTGGCATTACCTGAGAAGATTCTCTCTGGTCACAGTGAATATTTCTGTAAAAGCAGTTTTACTCAAACCTTACTTTTTATGATGGCTGATTTAAGAGAACAGCATGCAGCTGTGAAATTTTGTTTCCTGCTTGGGTAAAATGCTACAGAAATTGCTGTGAGGTTCAACACAGCTTACAAGGACAGCGCTATGGGAAAAACTCAGGTGGACGAATGGTTTGCTCATTTCTAAAAAGGTGAAATGTTGATTGATCACAAACCTCGTCGGGACGTCTGTCAACTTCCGGAATGGATGAAAATGTCAACTCGTAGTGCATTTGGAGTTTGTTCCACCAGGTCAGACTGTTCATCATGCTTTCTATTTAGAGGTTCTGAAAAGACTGTGTAACTGTGCAGTAAAAAAGGCCTGATTTGTGGCAGACGGACTGGTTTTGCCACTAGGATGATGTACCTGCTCACGCAGCCATCTCAGTGTGCCAGAGTTTGGCTTAAAACAGTATACCTCTCTTGCCTGATGCATCTGACTCACCTGGCCTCACTCTGTGTGACTTCGTTTTGTTTACACGAAATAGAAGAGGTAAAGAAGAAAAATGAGGCAGGTGCTGTTGGCCATCCAAAGAGATGAGTTTCAAGATTGTTCCAAGAATGGAATCACAGATTTGACAAATGTATTAGGTGTAATGGAGAGTATTTTGAAGGGGATAAGATTGTTTTGTAAAAAAAAAAAAATAATATAGCTTGGAAAAAAATTCCATTTTTTAAGTGTGTGTGTGTGTGTGTGTGTGTGAGAGAACTCACTGTCTTTGAGTGAACTATGACTTATCTTAATCCAATAGGACAAAATAGAACTTCCCCCATAGGATTTCTAATGCTTAAATATGTATAGATTACACATCTTTCTCCCACAGAGTAGCTGGTGGGTTTGAACCATTGAACTTTTGGTTAGCAGCTGAGAATTTAATCACTATATTGTCAAGGGTATAGATATAGATATATATCTATATATATCTAGATATATAATGGAATAGAAATAGATACAGCTCACTGTCATTGAGTTAATACCAACTCATATTCCCCCTGTAGATATGCAATGTTTCCATTTCTTACATGGACCATTTCCTCTCTTTATCTGTTTGTTTTGTCTTTATCTTTTATGTCAAAGATGTTCCTTCAATATCCAGCAATTCTTGGTTTCTTGCTTATACTTAAAAATTGGGGGTAAAAAGCAACAACAATGCACTGAATCAATTTTGACTCATAGAGATCATCTAGGATAGACCAGAACTGAGAATGGAATGCTGTATGAGAGCAGAAAGCCTCATCTCCCTCTTGAGGAGTGGCTGGTGGCTTTGAACTCTTACTCAGTGTTCATCTTCCAGATAGATCCAATGGAGAGCTTGAAGCCAGAACAAAAAGCAGAACGATTAGATGGATAGAATCCCGTTCCCTTTGTTATCACACTGACTGTGAAATGAATGATAAACTGCTATTCCCAAAAGTTACTATACTTTATACTTCTTTTCTATGATAGACATACCGAAGACAAGCCTTTGTCATCAAGTCAATTTTGATGAGGTTAGCCAAAAAATTATTTTTCTAAGTAAATACTTTGAGAACTGAGGGTGAAAGAAAACATAGTTCATGCTTATAGAGTATTAACTCATAATACCTTATTAGACAAAATGAAAAGTCATAATCGTGATTTATCTCAAATAAAGTGAAAAAAATGAGTTACTATATAGCCTTGTAATACTATGAGACAGGTACAATATCAAGTAATTTTACTAATGTGTATGATAATACATTACATATTTATCCTTTGAAGCTATAATCTAAGATTCATGCTTCTTATGTAAATCAAATGCTTACATTATTGTTTGAGACTTTCCTAGTGAGCCAAACACTAAGAACATACATTCTTGCATTCTGTTATGCCTACTCACTCACTTGTATTGAGAAGTAGCAGTACTTTCATACAGAGAAACTCTTCGTGGCTCACTTGAAGCTTAACAAATTCCTGTGGGATCTGCCACATGGTAAGACATAATGAGTAGAACGATGACTCTTTCATCCGCTGTCTTGTACCAGACACAACAAACAAAAGAAAAGGAAACAGAAATAAAAGAACAGTGTCTTAGCCAGTTTATGTAGTTTATTAGGCAATATTACTTTGATAAGTACCTTAGCTTTTTATCAGGAAGGAATGCTACTTTTTTAATAAACTACCTTAATAGTTGGAATTTTCATTTACACTTCTTTACAATACTGTTTTTGAAGTTAAGAAGTTTTACATTTAGAAAAACATACCGAATACACATTGACTAAGATTAATATTTTTGCATTTTCATTATTGTATATTAAATGCCTAACCTGAGACGGGATAAAAATTGTTGGAGTTGAGAATGTGGAACTTAGAGGTGCTCAGGGGGTGTTTTCTTCACTAATGATCTTTACTGGGAAAACATATATTGTGTGCACAATACCACACAGAGAACATGAACATATTGTGAACTTTTCTAGGGGAAACATATGATGACATAGAAAAAAAGAGGAAAAAAACTACAGCATAATGTCAATGACAAGGTTAACACAAAATCTGAAGGTTGAGGAAATTTACGTAATGTTCACATTAGTTCAAATGAAGCTAGGAATGTTCTTGAAAAGCTAGTGAGCATTGGTGAAAAGAAAGATTTCTACTCAGAAGAGTAAAGATTGAATCTTGTCACTGATACTATTTAGTACATGATGCTATTCTTCTCAGCTTCAGTTCTTGAGCTATAGAATAAGAGATGGAAGATTCCTGACAATATGTAAGGCATTGTAGGACAAAACAGAATAGTACAGTATAAGTTCTTAAGTTACAGAATTCAAAACCAGTTTTAGTCATTGAAACAGTTGAAATTATGATTTTTTTCAGTCTGTTATTTATATAAAATTAATTACAGAAATGTAAATATAAGTTAAAATATTTATCTTAAAAATGTTAAAAGAAGTCACCAAGTTGATTTTTACTCTAGGAAGAAAAATTAGTTTATTTTTGAAGACAATTCAATATTTTCAAATAAAAGTATTTACAACTTATTTCATTTTTGTTGTTAGTATCAAGATATGACATTTTAATTTGATAACCTATCCATTAAATTGTTTTAAAATATTTTCCTTGATACATTTTTAAAGTTTAAAAGGGGTGTGTTTTAAGGTTTAAAGGGGTTTGATTTAATTACACTATATAATGAAGCAAAGAGAAAAAATTCCATACATCAAAGTACTAATAAAATGAAACAGTTTTGATTCGTTTTATCAAACTGCATATTGAGATAATCCTGAGACAGTTAAAGAATTCAAAGCCAGCATTTACAGGATGCTAAATGCATATTCAGGACACTATGGATGTGTAATTTTCAAGACTTTCTGGCATGTAACCTTAAAATAATAATAGTTTAAAAAAAACAGAAGTCAAATTACTACTTACTCATTTAGTATTAAATCAGGCGCAAAATACAGCATCTTCCCACTCACATGTTTATAGGATCTCCATCCTAGCCCAAACACCATTAAGCTCATCCAAGAATATTGGATCAGAGTTATCTGGTCATCAATATGTAAGTTTCGAAAACCTACGAAATTAATTTTTAAAAATCACTTGTGTCCAAAACTTTAAAAAACACTATTGTGAAAATAAATATAAACATTAGGGCAATATACAGTTTTCAATCTCTATGTTTCACACAAAATAGGAAATCAATAAATAATAGAGTTCAAAAAGTGAAGAAGTGACAGTAAATTTCCAAGCTATTTAAAATTAACAACTTAAATGTACATTTCTGATGTTTTATTAACTGAACCCATCACCCATCACTCATTCAATCAGCATCATTTACTAAGAATTTTTGTGTGCCAAGCAATGTGTGTAAATGTTGAGAATACAATGACAAATAAAATACAACCCTAGCCCATAAAAAATACAACTCAGAGGTCCATAAGGAAGATCAACACATAACTATGCTTACAAAGGTTACCGAAGTGTGTACGACAAAGTATACAGGAATGTGGATGGGAGGCAGTCTAGAAAAGGCTCCCAAATAGAGAAAGAGATCATGCCAGAACAGAAATGAATTTGTTAATGAGTGTCAATACATTGTAATTTAATTCTCAAAAACAAACAAAAGGCAACTCGCTGCTATCAAGTCAATTCTCATTCACGGTGACTTAACAGGGCAGAGCAGAACTCCTTCTGGGCATTTCTGATACAAAAACACTCTTTCTAGGAGTACAGTCTCTTCTCTCTCCCAGGGAGCAGTTGGTGGTTTTGAACTACCAATGTTGAGGTTAGCAGCCCAGTGTCTTACCCACGATGCCACCAGTGTTGCTTGCAATTTATAAAAGATTCACTTTACTCTCTAAAGTTACTGTCAATTGTGCTATGTTTAACTCTCCGTTGTCGTCGGCCTTACTGTCAGATCACTTACCTGTGACAGTGTCTTTGGCAATTCTATCCCCTCCCTTGCTAAGGTCCTTCTCTGGAGTTGGTGCCAGAACCGTAGATCTGATTAGGCCTTATTTTTAGAGGTGGTGCTGCGCAGGAATGGCAGTGCATTCTATGAGGGCATTTGTGATGCTTGTTATTCTACCTTCTAGAGAGGCCTTACTTCCAAGGTCCTTTTCGGAAGCCAAGCCACCAGCTCCTCTTCAGTAAATCCTTGGTGGCCTGTCACTAAATTCTTTCCTGTTTTGTTTTGTTAGTCAGATGATTGAAAATAAATCAACAGAGTTGGTTTTTATTGCGTGTGTCTCAGAAATGTGATTTATTCAAGTGCAGAAAGACTCCCTAAATAGCTGGCCAAGAAAAGAATCTGGCATGCTACTTTCCTATTCCTTGATTTTAAAATCCCCTAAATGTACCTTGAAGCATATGTCTCTGCTGGGGTAGGTCGTTTTGACAAATGAAACATTTTGGTGGCTCAGTAATAGTAAACTCAATGGAATGGTATGTTAAAGAAGAAGTCATTTTCGAAAGCCCCCATAAGGATTCATCAGAGCCCGATTTTACTCCAAGGAGCTGTGGTTGTACAGCTGGGTTACCAATCACAAGGTCAGCGGCTCAAAATCACCAGCTGCTTCGAGAGAGAGAAAAATGAGGCTGTTAGTCCCATAGAGACTGGCAGCTTCAGATAGTACTCTTATCTGTAAGATCACTGTCTATACGACCACTATGAATCAGAATCACTTACTAGATAGCTGTGGGTTTGTTTTTGGTAAGTTTATTCCAATAGTCCTAGTGGTACAATAGGAAAGGCACTAGGCTACTTACTGAGAGGCTGGTGGTTCAGACCCACCAGCTGCCCTCACAGTAGAAAGATGTGGCAACCTGCTACCATAAAGATCTCCAGACATGGTAGCTCTGCTCTGTCCTACAAGGTTGCCAGGAATCACGATCGAATGGACAGCAATGGGATGCGTTTGGTTGTAACTACTTCAGAGGACTTGGTGCCATAAAGGGTTCACTGCTGAGCTTCTAACTGAAAGGTTGGGACTACCTGACGTCACTTTGGAAGACATGAAGATTGACCTCCAAAAAGTCACAGCCATGAAACTTGATGGCACAATTCTATGAGGGAGCTTTAGGAGATTATGGGGAAATTCCATTATTTTTCCTCCCTACCCCCAAACCCCCATGAGCTTTTTGAAGTCCGTTCATACTCGGAGACACAGAGGAACACCATGATTCGAGTGGCTACTTCCATTTCTTTCCCATCGTTTACTGGGGAGTAGTTTGATTTATTTAGGTGATTTGGGATAACAAGGAAAATCCTCTGTCAGAGCTGAGTCAAATGACATGTTGACATCTCCCAAAGCTGGAAATTGAGGCCAAAGTACTGTGCTAATTGCATAGTGTTAATTGCAGGTATTTTGACTAACTGAAATGAAAAAGTAAGGTATGAATTTTTAAATACAATCAATAAGAATGCCAAAGCTTAGACTTGAATCGAATTTTTACTCCATAGATGGAACTATCAAGACAAAAATTATGTTAAAAAAATACATTTCCTTCAAGCCTCTGTCACATCAGCCCTATGGCAATGTACTGATACATAAGATGAATATTTCAAAGTAACTTTGAATCAGGAGTGAGTGCTTGTTAACTTGATTTCTAAAGTTACTAAACTTTTGATTTTCTAACTATACTTCAGTTTAAATTTCTAAACTTACTTTCTACGACTGGCCTTGCTACAATTTCATAGGCAGTAATTGTTTTTTTTTAATATTTAGTCATAAAATCCTAAAGGAACAAGTACTTATTTCAGCCTGAAAAATCATATGTGCAAATATAATATATTTTCTCATTCATTAGCTAATAAGAGCTTTAAATACTATCATGTGGGGAACAAGATAAAATGTTTGGTATTACTAAAGAACCATTACAGTTGAAAAGAATGTAAATCATTGCTTATACTAATAAATATGATACATGCTAAATTTACACTTTCTCATGCTGATTTACACTTTCACACCTTTACTTTTTTTAGGTGGAATGTTTTCTCTTTTTATCATAATTTATCAACACCTCATGTATCTTTTAAGGTGCAGTGTAATAGACATCATATGTTGCTGAAGACATCTTTTGTCCCTAAATCCAAGTGTTTTTTCCTCCCCACTTTCTTTGTATTTTATCACTTTCACATGTCATTATAGTTGTTTGAGGAACTCTGGTTGCATTATGTACTATACCTTGAACTGATAAACTGCAAGGTCAATAGTTCAAACCCACCAGTCACTCTGTGGGAGAAAGATGAGGCTTTCTGCTCCCATAAAGTTTGACAGCCTCACAGCTAAGGAGTAGTTCTACTCTGGTTGTTTTTGTGAGTTAGAATTGACTTGACCACCGTGAGACAGTTGTGGGATAACTTATCTTTCATAGGATTGAATATTCCTAAGCACAGAGAAGACGTCTTTGTCTTTTTTGGGGGAAGGTGGTTGTTATTTTATAATTTTGTAAATATTATGGGAGTAGAAAGCCTGGTCTTTCTCCCAAGGAATGGCTGGTAGTTTCAAACTGCTGATCTGTGGTTCATAGCCCAATGTGTAACCACTACACCACCAGGGCTCCTGCCTTCAAATAAGAAAGGAGTTCTCAATAAAATTACAGGTGGTGTAGTGGTTATGTCTTGGGCTGCTAACCAAAAGATCGGCAGTTCAAAATCACCAGGCCCACTATGAGCTGGTACAGAGTTACAGGCGTGGAAATTCATAGAGACCATTTTACCTTGTCCTATAGGGTCACTATGAGTTGGGAAAGAATCGATGGCAGTGACTTTGGTTTGTGATTTTTGGAAAATTATAGGTGCCACTGTAAAAATAATTTCTATATTAATGAAATATACCCTAAAATAGTTTGTAAGTGTCCTGTGATAAGGCAAGCCCATTAAATAGAAGCAAGGATATCTCTGAAATATTCTAAGACCTGTGAAATTGGAACCTGTGTAAGACAGAAACCTGTCAGAGAAGGAAATATTCCATTCCTGGTTCTTTGTGAGGCAGGACTCTTAACAGAGGGTGATAGAAAATTGTCAGGGACAGGAAATATGAGAGACTAGGTAAAACAAGGTAGCCCACTAAAGTCTGGCTCTCATGGGCTTTACGGTATTATTGTAGCAATAAAAAGCTTCAATTATTATAATAGGTTCAAGATAATGGCAGAATGTAGACAAAGATGAAATGTAGAAGGTCTGGCAAGGCAATTAGAATTCTCCTGAGCATTTCTAGATACAGGCCTAGTGGTCCTCATGCAAATATCACCATTGTAATTATCATTACATGTGATCTTAATCTGGCTTCCCAAAGACTCTTTCTCACTGTGCAGGGGGTGGGAGTGGGGGTGGAATCTGATCCCCTGCCATGTTTTCCTAGTAGTTTAATATAGATATTTGCATATAAATGAATAAACAGACATTCTGCTTGATCAGTAAGACTTCTTGATCAGTAACACATGAATGAATGGTAAATTGAATTTTTCTTGTGTGTAACGGCAATGGCTAGATGTTAGGATGTGATGCACCAAAATGCTTTCATACCATGAGTCCAGTCTCCTGGGCTGTGTTTTTAATACCCCTGGCTTAATTATTAGGTTTTTCACACTGTAGAGATGCAATGGACAGTTAATGAATGAATCATTGAATAAATTTAGTCTGGGTTAAAGTCAATGCAAAGGTTTTGAGTGGCTAATGATACCATGTTATTTTATATATGACCTCTCCAAGTCTTTTGAAAGTCATTTTGATTCATTGAGCATTTCACTTCCACTATACAGCGCATGCAGAATATGGCTTTTAAGACCACATACCACATGATATTTATGTTAACCTCAATGCTCCCTTTACTGTACAGTGAATGGAAGCAGAATGTACAGTGTTGGTGATGCCATAATTCTAGTTTAATTACACGAGTTAAATTTTTTGCAACATGAAGGGTTGCGGGGAGGTGAGGAGCAAATCGGAATGCAGTGTAGTAACGATGAAATATGCAATTTTCCTCTGATTCTTAAATGCTTCTTCCACCCCACTACCATGATCCCAATTCTACCTTACATATCTGGCTGGACTGGAGGAGGTGCACTGGCACAGATAGGAACTGGAAATACAGTGAACCCAGGACAGATGAACCCCCCAGGACCAGTGGTGAGAGTGGCGATGGCAGGAGGGTGGAGGGAAGGAGAGGGAGAAAGGGGGAACAGAGGACAAGGTCTACATGTGGCCTCCCTGGGGAACGGACAGCGGAGAAGTGGGTGAGGGAGACATGGGATGGGGTAAGATATGATAAAATAATAAATTATAAATTATCAGGGGTTCGGGGGGAGCGGGGAGGGAGAGGGGAAAATGAGCTGAAACCAGGGGCTCAAGTGGAAAGTAGGTGTCGTAAGAATGATGAAGTCAACATATGTACTAAAGTGCTGGACACAGATGACGTATGTACAGATTGTGATGAGTTGTATGAGCCCCTAATAAAATGATTATTAAAAAAAAATTTTTTTGCAACATTAAAAAAAAGTCACTAAATTTAATGGAAAAATGAACTCTTGTTTTTACTGAGAGTGTACCAAATACCAGTACTTCAATTTAAATGCTCATTTTACTGTTATCCAAAGAAAATAAGTTATATTTTTAACTATAACCAATTATTTTCTAAGATTGCAGCTGATGCTAGCATATTTTTAACAACAATAAATTCTAAAACGTCAACAACCAAACATTAACCATAGAAGTAAAAATCAGTTTTCAAATAATAGGAAAAATGGAGAAAAGCTAATCATGTGTCTAAATACTAATATTTTTAAACAGAAAAATTTCATTAGTGCTGTAGTACATTTTTACTTAATGATTATATATCAAGTCTGATAACTGACTTTTTAAAGGAACTAATTATATTACCCAGTCACAGCCTTGCAGCAATAGTCAAGTTAATAAAGACCTAGGCATTTTGACTTTTCTATTAAATTTCACTATCTCCAGTAGAATAGGGAATTTTATTATCCTTGTTCAACATGCATTTTAATGATTCAACAAAGTGGACATCTATTTCAAACCTTTCAGATAGAATAATAAAAGAGAAAAACAGTAAGGCAAATTGGGAAGTAATTATTTTATGTTCTAGAAAAGCTACTGAGTCAAGTTGGACCTTAAACAACATTATATGTTCAATTCTTGATCAAATGTTAGAAAAATTAATAAAGGAGGATTAGGATAGTACTGATGTGAAGAGAAGATATATTATGAATAGGATTTTGGTTGTTATATAGTTAGATATATTTGGTTTTATTTTTTTATTTAACAATCTACAAAACAACAATTTTTTATTACAGGCTATTTTTGTGTGTGTGTGTGTGTGTGTGTGTGTGTGTGAGAGAGAGAGAGAGAGAGAGAGAACATTGAGAGAGATTATTACCTGGCAGTGATTTAGACCACTTGACTACTGAAAGAAGTTGCCTCTCGCCTAGTTGATTAAGACTGGTCAGCAAGGAACTGGAGGTATCAGGCTTTGTGTTGTCATGTCCTGCATAGACCACATCTGGTTCAATGCTCATTAAGAGGTTGATCAGTGGGGGTACCAAATGTATCTCTTGATTTGGTGAAAAAGTGATTCTCTGGCTTAGAGCCTGGCTTTCATTTGCAATGCCCACTGGCTGCGGGAGAGCAACAGCATCTAGTGCTCTCATCACTCGGACTTTATTGAACTTCTTAAACTTTCGACCTACAAAGAAGAACAAGAAAAATTTATGTCAATACATATCAAAAACATCTTCCAGCAGAGTACATCTTTCTCAAGCCCTAAAATTATTGGCGTTATAAATTCTAGCACCGACAGTGGCATAAATGGAAACATTTTTAGTAAAGTAAGTTCAGTACTTCTCAGTGTTACTATGGAAATTCCCCTTTCCCAGGCTATTGTTACAGGCTACATTCACGAAGCCTCGTCTATAACTGAAGCACTATCTAGAGTTGAATCTTCTGGATTTTATTCTTTTAGGAATTTGTTTGAAAGTATATGATTTCTCTCCAACTACATAAAAAGGTGCATATATCTGTAACCCTTCCCCTAAATCTTGTATCCAATTTCAGTGGGTTCACAGAACTCTCAAAATCAGTCCATTCCCTTTGAGTTGACCTAAGAATCCGGAAAACCGTTCCTGTGCCTAGAAACCAAAAGGCTGGAAGTTTGAGTTCATCGGGAAGTGCTTTGGAAGAAAGGCCTGGCAATCTTGCTTCTGGAAAATCAGCCATTAAACATCCTACTGAGCACAGTTCTACTCTGACACACATGAGGTCATCATGTGCCAGCGTCAACTTGCTGGCACCTGCCCCCATTTGCCTCCCTGAATGAAGTGAGGAGAGGCAAACCATATGAACATTGGAGCCTTGGTGGCTTAGTGAGTTAGGACTTGGGTCAATAACAGAAATGCCAGCAGTTTGAAACCAACAGCCACTATAGGAGAAATATGAAGCTCTCTATGTTGTAAGA